GTATTCCCATTATGGGCGACCTCTTCTGGTGCCTCTTTTCTGTTTTTACACCATCCCTTTTTCAGCATTCTGAATTACCTAACTTATCATATCTCTTTTGTTTGCTTCTCTAGTCTCCTTCTCCTGTATTGTTGCCTTTGCTATTTCCCATACCTGGATTTCCATTTCTTTTTTTATTTGCTCGTCCTCTTCATTCGTCTTTTGACTGGTGGCTTGAATTAGTCTGTCTGTCAAATATAACGTTTTCTCTGGTTTGTACTGAAAGTATGGAGTCCTGTAGCTCAGTGGTTAGAGCACTCACCTTGCAAGAGAATGGGTTCAATTCCAGGCAGGGCGAAACCTTGGGCAAGTTTCCTTACTCCACACAGAGCCTAATAATAATCCCTCCAAAACCAAAAACAATAATAAATTTGTCATTTTCAATCCACGACTGTTTGTGGACTCTGCTGTGCACAATTGGCTGCCGCGTTCGCCCAGAAATATATAGTCAATTCACTTTATAGCATATTCTATGAAGCGCTTTGAGATGTCTAGAAGACGTGAAAAGCACTATATCAAATGCAAGGATTACTATTATTATCAAAGATAATGCTATATCTCTATAGCCATATTCTTTGTAGTCTTGGCAGTGTTTCATTGAGCCCTTTTCTCAGAATTATCTCTAATGGTTTGTGATCATTTTCTATCATCATTTTTTTCTCAAATATATCTAGCGATAACATCCGCTCTTTTTTTCTTTTTCTGTATGCAGTCTCTTAATGATTTTATTGCATCAATATTATACTCCTCAATTATACTCCATCAATTTCCATCATCTCTTCTGCATTTCTTCTGCTCATGTGTTTTGGACATTTCTTCTATAACAACTATTTGCAGAGCTTTTTGCAGCAGTCTCCTACTTCAAGAGTTTGCTGCATATTTATTATCGTTCTATCCTATTACAATTTCGTCTCTGATCATCTCTTCTCTTAAAGCTCCATAATCACATGTCTTACTTAGTGATGGTAATACCACACAGTACGGATAAAATGATTCCGTAGGCCCTTGATCCCTTGTTCCAAATTTATATCTATCCACTGTGACGTTGTTTTACTCACATCATCTTTCCCGCATGACTTTTATCATCTCATCTAATGACATGTTCATATCTTTCTCCGTAGTTGCAAAGTAATCCCTCACTTCTTCTGCCACATTTAGGAAAATAGCCAACTGCTGTATTTGTGCCAATTCCTTCACATTTGAGGCGAGTGCAAATATCTCAAAATCCCGCCAATTACATCTTAAGTTGCCTTCTAGCCTCAATGTACATGGTATTTGCATATATCTTGGTATGGCATCCGTTTCTGCTTCTCCACAATTAATTTTGTCTTGTTTATCGTCCCTGTTGAATCTCATAGTCTTTTCCGATTCAGTTCAGTTTCATTTCTGACACCATGTTGTGTTCTCACAACTCAAATGTAGAAATCACTATTTTATTCTCAGCTCTCAAAACACAATCCAACAATACAACGAAAACCTCTTCAGTTAGTTCCCCTGCCTCCTGCTTCATATTTTCTGATCCCCTTTCATTGGTTCCCAGTTAATTTGGGTCATTTCTTCTTAAAGGGGATCTAAGATAGAGTGTATTGGAGACTGTGTCTTAGAAGAATATGTTAGGATGTCCCCACTAAAAAGCCACTACAGGGCTCGACTTGATGGTGGGAAATGAGCCTGGACACGTGAGCAATGTGAAGGTAGGAGAACATTTGGGGAACACTGGGGGTGGGGTGGAGTCAGAGACAGAAGAGATCAGGTAAACTGTGTTAGAGGGACTCTGCAACCTGCTCCTGTCACAGATCCATGCAATGCCCACTGTTTCCCCTGCTTACCTAATTCCAGAAAGAATGAGGCACAGGCTGACAAGAGCTATGTCTTGGGACCGCAGAGTGTGCATTGGGCTAACTACTGGAGTCTAACTGGCTAAAACCACATAGCTTGCCATTGAAAGCACTGTCTGGCAAACTCCCTATTGCCAGCTGGGACCACACTAACTGTTAGGGCTTTGGTTTGCAAGGTTAACAGGAGCTGCTTAATCCGGATCATCATGTGAGTTGCATTGGCAAATAGAAGTGCCCACTTTGAAGCTGACTCTGACAACAGAGAGCTCAATGGAGCTCAGGGAAAGAGTGCACATCCCATTCCAGGTTCAGGAATTTCCATGTGTAGGTGGGATGCATGGAATGCTTAGTTTGGTTGGGATACTCTTTAGCATGGTGAGTGGTTTCCATACGAGTCAGACACCCGACTGACCAAAAGCGTGGGTGAAAACATTTCTCCTGACCTCCCCGTTTGCTCATTTACTTACTATTCTAAACTGATGACCTCTCGTTATAATAAATAATAATAATCCTTGCATTTTATATAGCGCTTTTCACGTCTTCTAGACATAGCACCTTATTAGATCATTGAAATGTCTCAAAGTACTTCACAGAATATACTGTAAAATGAGTTGCCTATATTTTGTGGGTGAAACGTGGCCAATTGTGCACAGCAGTGTCCCACAAACAGTTGTGGATTGACCAAATTATCATTTTTTTTGAAGGAATTATTATCCTCAGAAAGGTGTTGGAACCCTTTAGCCTCCTCTCAAGGACCTTCCAAATGATTGCTTTCAGCAGGAGGGTGAATTAACTCATTGCTCCAGGATATCGGAGGCACCTGTTTTTGAAGACTGATTGAGCTGCAAACCTTCACGTCAGCCTCTTGGAGCCAGCAGCCTCTCATCACTGGCTCCCCCAGGCTGTACAGCGAGAGTGGGATCTCGACACTGCCCACTCCAAGGCTGAAGGCCAGGAATTTGGTGTTAGGAGCTCATTCTTAGCATATTCTGCTTACAAACCAGCCACTCATGGCCTCAATCAATCTTCCTCTCGATTATGCAGCCTGAGTGCATTACAGTATGATCATGATAGTGGAGTGCTGGAGCTCGGAGGTTAGAGCACTCATCTCGCAAGTGAGAAGGGCTGCGTTTGATTCTCGGGCAGGGCGAAACCGGACAAGTTTCCTACTCTACATGACTCTGTAATAACCCCTTCAAAAAAAAATTACGTCACTCAATCCATGACTGTTTGTGGGATGCTGCTGTGCACAATTGACAGCCATGTTTTGCACACAAAATATACAGTTAAATTACTTTATAATTTGTGAAGCACTTTGAGACGTGTTGAAGATGTGATAAGGTGCTATATCAAATGTGAGGATTATTATTATCAAGGAGATGAGCATGAAGGAACTGGTAAGGTAGTGTTCCAGATCCATGAGGGTCTGTGGTTGAGGTTCTGGTACTCAGAAATTACAAGATCACCAGATTAGATCAGATGAAGAAACCCCTTTGGATGAGACCAGATGTTTTTAAAAATGATTTCATGTCACCACTCTCCTTATAACGTTTCGCCCACAAAATATAGTCAATTCACTTTATAGTATATCCTGTGAAGTGCTTTTGACATCTTGAAGATGTGACAAGGCACTATATCAAATGCAAGGATTATTAATGTGGGATTACATGGGATCACATGTGAATTGGTAACTGAATCTGGAGCACTTCTCAGGGATGTCACCACCTCTGTGATATGCATTCCACTATTCATCACTCATATTCATGTTATCATTCTTTCTCTTTCCCTGCTGCTTGTCGTATCTACATGTAATAATAATCTTTGCATTTGATATAGAGCTTTTCATGTCTTCTGTAAAGTGAATTGACCGTATATTTGTGGGCGAAACAGCGTCTTTCAAATTGAGAGCACTCCCAAGGCACTGGATAGTCAGGGATTTGGGCACAGCAAGGGGTTGGGATCAGAAGGCATGGAGGGCAGGGAGGGAAGGGTAGGAGGGTGACTGAAGGCGCGGTGGAAGAGGAGGGTCTTGAGATGGATCTTGAAGGAAGCGAGGGAAGAAAGCAAGGCAAAGGGACTGTGGCATGGAATTCCAAAGCGTGGGGGCAGAGAGGCTGAAGGCCCGACCACCAAAGGTGGGCCGGGCCAGGTGGGAGACATGGAGCAGGCTGGAGCCTGCTGAGTGGACGGAGTGGATAGGTTGATATGGGATTAGCAGATCACAGAGGTAGGAAAGAACAAGACCATGGAGGGCCTTGAAGGTAAGGATGAAGATTTTGAACTCTATCCTCCTAGGGGATGGGGAGCCATCGTAGCTGGGTGAGGGTGGGGGTGATAGGGTTACGGAGCCTGTTGCAGGAGAGGACATGGGCTGCAGAGTTCTGAATGATCTGCGGTTTTGTGGAGAGAAGAGTTGGGGAAGACCGACAAGCAGAGAGTTGGTGTAGTCGAGCCTAGATGTGATGAATGTGTGGATGAGGGTCTTGGTTGCCTGTAGGGAGAGGCAGTGACAGAGCCGGGCAATGTTGCGGAGATGGGGGAAGGCAGATCGAGTACGGATGTGAGGTAGAAAGAACAGTTAAGGGTGAAACAAGACACCAAGGTTCCGGACTGGCTCAGTGAGGTGGAGTGTGCAACCATAGATGGTGTTGCTGTCAGTGCCTGAGGAGCTGGCTGGAGGCAATCAGGAGGGCCTCGGTCTTGTTGAGAAAGTAAGCTTTCATCCAGTCTGTCAGGACCAGCAGTGGTCCTGGAGTCGAGGGTGGAAGCAGAGAGGGACAGTTGAGTGTCATCCTCATAAATGAGGAAGTTGAACCCATGTCTGTGGATGATGTCACCAAGAGGAAGCATGTAGACCATGATCAGGTCACCTTCAGCCTTCTTTATTCCAGCAGAAAAAGTCCAATTTCCTCTGGTCTCCACTCAAAGGCCAAGCCACTCAACCCCATTATCATACTCGTAAATCTCTGTTCCCCTCTATCTCCCTGATGTCTTTCCTAAAAACTGTGGTGACCAATACTGGACACAATATTCTGACTGTGGTCTGATTAACGATTTATACATATTTAGCGTTACCTCTTTGCGTTTATATTCTATACCCTTATTTATAAAACCCAAGGTTCCATGAGCTTGGATGTCAGCTCACACCATGATGTGAACGTTCCTGATGAAGCAAACCTTGGAGAGAAGATGTCTGATGAGAAGATGTCTGATGTGAAGTTTATTGGTGATCAAGTTTCTGGTGTGAAGATTCCTGGTGTGAAGACTCTTGGTGGTCAAGTTCCTGGTGTGAAGATTCCTGGTGCACAAATTCCTGGTATTGATATGCCTGGCATGGTGACATCTGGTGTGAAGATTCCTGGTGTGAAGACTCTTGGTGGTCAAGTTCCTGGTGTGAAGATTCCTGGTGCACAAATTCCTGGTATTGATATGCCTGGCATGGTGACATCTGGTGTGAAGATTCCTGGTGTGAAGACTCTTGGTGGTCAAGTTCCTGGTGTGAAGATTCCTGGTGCACAAATTCCTGGTATTGATATGCCTCGCATGGTGACATCTGGTGTGAAGATTCCTGGTGTGAAGACTCTTGGTGGTCAAGTTCCTGGTGTGAAGATTCCTGGTGCACAAATTCCTGGTATTGATATGCCTCGCATGGTGACATCTGGTGTGAAGATTCCTGGTGTGAAGACTCTTGGTGGTCAAGTTCCTGGTGTGAAGATTCCTGGTGTACAAATTCCTGGTATTGATATGCCTCACATGGTGACATCTGGTGTGAAGATTCCTGGTGTGAAGACTCTTGGTGGTCAAATTTCTGGTGTACAAATTCCTGGCATGGTGACATCTGGTGTGAAGATTCCTGGTGTGAAGATTCTTGGTGGTCAAGTTCCTGGTGTACAAATTCCTGGCATGGTGAAATCTGGTGTGAAGATTCTTGGTGGTCAAATTCCTGGTGTGAAGATTCCTGGTGCACAAATTCCTGGTATTGATATGCCTCGCATGGTGACATCTGGTGTGAAGATTCCTGGTGTGAACATTCTTCGTGGTCAAATTTCTGGTGTACAAATTCCTGGCATGGTGACATCTGGTGTGAAGATTCCTGGTGTGAAGATTCTTGGTGGTCAAGTTCCTGGTGTACAAATTCCTGGCATGGTGAAATCTGGTGTGAAGATTCTTGGTGGTCAAATTCCTGGTGTGAAGATTCCTGGTGCACAAATTCCTGGTATTGATATGCCTCGCATGGTGACATCTGGTGTGAAGATTCCTGGTGTGAACATTTTTCGTGGTCAAATTTCTGGTGTACAAATTCCTGGCATGGTGACATCTGGTGTGAAGATTCCTGGTGTGAACATTCTTCGTGGTCAAATTTCTGGTGTACAAATTCCTGGCATGGTGAGTTCTGGTGTGAAGATTCCTGGTGTGAAGATTCCTGGTGTGAAGATTCTTGGTGGTCAAGTTCCTGGTGTACAAATTCCTGGCCTGGTGAAATCTGGTGTGAAGATTCTTGGTGGTCAAATTCCTGGTGTGAAGAGTCCTGGTGCACAAATTCCTGGTATTGATATGCCTCGCATGGTGACATCTGGTGTGAAGATTCCTGGTGTGAAGACTCTTGGTGGTCAAATTTCTGGTGTACAAATTCCTGGCATGGTGACATCTGGTGTGAAGATTCCTGGTGTGAACATTCTTCGTGGTCAAATTTCTGGTGTACAAATTCCTGGCATGGTGAGTTCTGGTGTGAAGATTCCTGGTGTGAAGATTCCTGGTATGAAGATTCTTGGTGGTCAAGTTCCTGGTGTACAAATTCCTGGCCTGGTGAAATCTGGTGTGAAGATTCTTGGTGGTCAAATTCCTGGTGTGAAGATTCCTGGTGCACAAATTCCTGGTATTGATATGCCTCGCATTGTGACATCTGGTGTGAAGATTCCTGGTGTGAACATTCTTCGTGGTCAAATTCCTGGTGTACAAATTCCTGGCATGGTGACATCTGGTGTGAAGATTCCTGGTGTGAACATTCTTCGTGGTCAAATTTCTGGTGTACAAATTCCTGGCATGGTGAAATCTGGTGTGAAGATTCCTGGTGTGAAGATTCTTGGTGGTCAAATTCCTGGTGTACAAATTCCTGGCATGGTGAAATTTGGTGTGAAGATTCCTAGTGTGAACATTCTTCGTGGTCAAATTTCTGGTGTACAAATTCCTGGCATGGTGAGTTCTGGTGTGAAGATTCCTGGTGTGAAGATTCCTGGTGTGAAGATTCTTGGTGGTCAAGTTCCTGGTGTACAAATTCCTGGCCTGGTGAAATCTGGTGTGAAGATTCTTGGTGGTCAAATTCCTGGTGTGAAGATTCCTGGTGCACAAATTCCTGGTATTGTTATGCCTGGCATGGTGACATCTGGTGTGAAGATTCCTGGTGTGAACATTCTTCGTGGTCAAATTCCTGGTGTACAAATTCCTGGCATGGTGACATCTGGTGTGAAGATTCCTGGTGTGAACATTCTTCGTGGTCAAATTTCTGGTGTACAAATTCCTGGCATGGTGAAATCTGGTGTGAAGATTCCTGGTGTGAAGATTCTTGGTGGTCAAATTCCTGGTGTACAAATTCCTGGCATGGTGAAATTTGGTGTGAAGATTCCTAGTGTGAACATTCTTCGTGGTCAAATTTCTGGTGTACAAATTCCTGGCATGGTGAGTTCTGGTGTGAAGATTCCTGGTGTGAAGATTCCTGGTGTGAAGATTCTTGGTGGTCAAGTTCCTGGTGTACAAATTCCTGGCCTGGTGAAATCTGGTGTGAAGATTCTTGGTGGTCAAATTCCTGGTGTGAAGATTCCTGGTGCACAAATTCCTGGTATTGTTATGCCTGGCATGGTGACATCTGGTGTGAAGATTCCTGGTGTGAACATTCTTCGTGGTCAAATTTCTGGTGTACAAATTTCTGGCATGGTGAAATCTGGTGTGAAGATTCCTGGTCTGATGTTTCCTAGTATGACATTATTTAATGTGAACACGCCTTTTGCAACGCTTCCTGCTATGTTGTTATTCAATCGGCAGACTCCCAGCATGGCCAATCTCAGGTTGTGGTTACCTGATATGATGAGACCTGCTGGTGAGAGGTTCCCAGGTTGGAGTTTCCCAGGTGGGAATTTTCCTGATGGGAGACAACCCAATATGGGGTTTCCTGGTGTGATCCCAGGTTGGAAGCTTCCTGGTGGGTGGCTCTTCTTTTTGAGAACGGCTGGTACAGAGTTTCCTAATGTGTTCCCTAGTGGGACATTCCCCTTTTTGAGAATGCCTGGAATGGATTTTCCTGGTTTCACATTCCCTGGTAGGCACAGACTTGGTTTTGGCTGGAACATACCTGGTGTGCAGTTTCCTGGTTTTGGCTTCCCTGGCAGGAACATACCTGGTGTGCAGTTTCCTGGTTTTGGCTTCCCTGGCAGGAACATACCTGGTGTGCAGTTTCCTGGTTTTGGCTTCCCTGGCAGGAACATACCTGGTGTGCAGTTTCCTGGTTTTGGCTTCCCTGGCAGGAACATACCTGGTGTGCAGTTTCCTGGTTTTGGCTTCCCTGGCAGGAACATACCTGGTGTGCAGTTTCCTGGTTTTGGCTTCCCTGGCAGGAACATACCTGGTGTGCAGTTTCCTGGTTTTGGCTTCCCTGGCAGGAACATACCTGGTGTGCAGTTTCCTGGTTTTGGCTTCCCTGGCAGGAACATACCTGGTGTGCATTTTCCTGGTGGAAGACTCTCCTTTTGGTGGACAAACAGCATGGAGGTTCCTGATGGGAGATCAGATGTTTGGAGGATGCCTGGTATGTAGACTCCTGTTGCAAATTTACATGATGTGAAGATGCCTGTAGTGATGTCTGTTGTGTGGCTACCTTGTGTGAATATTCCAAGTAAAAGTGGGAGGTTACCTAGTGTGAAGATTCCTGACATAGACATTCCTGATGCGGAGTTTGGGGTGCAGCTGGAGTTTGGGGTGCAGCTGGAGTTTGGGGTGCAGCTGGAGTTTGGGGTGCAGCTGGAGTTTGGGGTGCAGCTGGAGTTTGGGGTGCAGTTGGAGTTTGGGGTGCAGTTGGAGTTTGGGGTGCAGTTGGAGTTTGGGGTGCAGCTGGGGTTTGGGGTGCAGCTGGGGTTTGGGGTGCAGCTGGGGTTTGGGGTGTATACAGACGTTTTGAAACATCGTCTGGTTAAGAATGACACTGTATCAAATGTAAGAATTTGTTTGTGGATAGTGTTGTTTACTGGGGCGGAGGTGGGGTTAGCGGGAGGGGGTGGTTTAGTGGGGGGCGGGGTTAGTGGGAGGGATGTTAGTGGGAGGGGGTAGTTTAGTGGGAATGGGTGGTTTAGTGGGAGGGGTGTTAGTGGGGAGGGGTGTTAGTGGGGAGGGGTGGTTTAGTGGAGGGGGGGGTTAGTGGGAGGGTGGGTTGGGGATACAGGGGATGGGTTGAGGAGTGAGGTGTAAGCAAATTGGAGAGGTAGGAAGGTACCAGGCATGAATTGATTTGAACATGAGTGTGAGGATCTTGAAATGGATACGTTCAGTGCCTTGGGACGTCCTCCCGACGTGAAAGGCGCTATGCAAATGTAATCTTGTTGTTGTTGTTGTGTGACAGGGAGCCAGTGGAGCCTGGTTGTTGAAGACAGGTTTGACAGTGTGTCAAATCAAGTGGGAACTAGACCAATACAGGAAACTCTTGATACTGCAATCTATTTAACTAGTCAGCACCAATTAGGTCACTATGCCCCGCTGTCAGTACCCCGATAACTTCCCATGCACAATGTTAATAAGGGACTCGTCACACCCCCTAACACCTAACTGGTCACATTCTAGAAATTCTTGTGAGTAATTACAATGTAAAATTGATCAGATAAGTCGTCCTATAGATGGCTTCTTGCATCAAAGAATCCTCTGGTCTATTGGAGAACCATGCCTCTGGCTCCGGCCTGTTACATGTCCCCTGCCCCCACCATCAGTGTCGGGACTTCAGCCTCTCTGCCCCCACCCTTTGGAACTCCATCCCACAGCCTCTTTGCCTTGCCCCTCCCTTGCCTCCTTCAAAGCCCGGTTCAAGATCCTCTTCGACCGTGCGTTCGGTTACCCTCCTATCTCCACCCTCTCTACCCTCCACCCCTCCTGAACCCAACCACCAGCTCAGGTCCAAATCCTTGGCTGTCCACCATCTTGGGACATCCTCCTGATGTGAAAGGCGCTGTGTAAATGTAATGTGTTGTTGTTACCTTCCTCCCCATTCTGTGACAATAGACCAAAGGCCTCTGCAACAGAATAAGGCAGGGCTCTTCAATAAACCAGAGGCCTCTGCGTGCCTCTGAGCATATGCGCCCAACCTCTACTGATTAACCCCACCCGTCACAGCGCCCCCTTGTGACCTACAGCTAACTCACCACTCTGGATAACTCATTGCTGAGCTCTTTTCCCTTGGAGTAACACTTTTTCAGAGTTTATTGTACCTTAACAACAACAACAACAAGATTGCATTTATAGAGCGCCTTTCACATCGGGAGGACGTCCCAAGGCGCTGTGTAAGTTTCTACGGTTCTGTGTTATGGGGTTGTGGGCTGACTTACGTCTCTCCTGAATGTGTCAGCTTGCAGTCAGCAGTTGTAGATATTTGTGAAGATTAAATGATACACAGTCATCCCTGTCTTCAATCAGGGGACTGGGCCAAAGTGGCCTTTATGTAGGGGTGGCCTCTGAGTAAGGCTTTGTTGGTGTGTGAGTCTGGCTGTTGGGCTGTGCCAGGGTGATTGTTAACAAGGGGGTGGTTGCTGAATGGAGGTGGTTGCTTCAACAGATTTGACTGTAATGTATTCAGCTTAGTTTTTTGTCTTCACAGGTACTGGACTGGAGAAGTGGAATGATGGAACATGTGAAAGTGTGATGGCATACCTAGATCCAGATGGAAAATATTGTTCTCTGCAAATAACGTAAGTGGAGGCTGTGATGGTTCAATAAGAGGTTGCAGCTCCTCTTCTTATTATACATCACTCTCATCCACCTACCCACTCACGGACCCCCCAACCCCGCCGCACACATAATGACACACGGGCACAGTTCAAGCACTGACAGGGGAGCCTTAGCAGCCACTACACAGATCTCATTACACCAGCTTCACCAGCTCCCAATTATTGAACATATCAATATCCTCTCACTCGTTTTCAAATCCCTTCAGGCCCTCCCCCCTCCCTACCTCTCCAATCTGCTTCCCCCACCCGCTGCCTCAGCTCGGCTGGCTCCAGCCTCCTGTTTGTCCCTCGATCACTCCGTTCCACCATCGGTGGCCTTGCCTTCAGCCACTACTCCCTGAAACTCTGGAACTCTCCCCCTCAACTGCTCCGCCTTGCCCCCTCCCCACCCACTTTCAAATACCGCCTAAAGACCTTACCTTTTAAATGTGCTTACGGTCACCTACCCGTTCCCTCTGCCCTGGCTTGAATCCAAAACTACCAAGCACTCTGGGACGCTACCATGCATGAAGGATGCTGTATAAAGGCAAGTTGTTGTAACTTGGACAGTCAAGGGTTTGCACCCGATCTGGAGGTTAGGTTCAAGAGGAATGGGGCCAAGGAAGGGGGGTCCATGCTCTCTGGAGCTCTGCAACTCACACTCTCTCATTTAAAGCACAACCAGCAACATAAAGCCCTTTGAAACATCCACTTTTGAGAAAGGTGCTATATAAATGTAAATGATGTAGTGCATTTTATTATAGGGGGTTACGATGTGGTGGCAGTAACTGAGACATGGCTTAAGCCAGGACAGGAATGGGAGATAAATATTCCAGGGTATAATGTGTTCAGGAAGGATAGAGAAGGAAGAAAGGGTGGAGGGGTGGCAATATTAGTTAAGCATACAATTATAGTTGTAGAAAGGAACGAGGCTCTGAAGGGCCCGACAACAGAATCGATCTGGTCAGAGGTCAGAAATAGGAAAGGAGTGGTTACACTGATAGGGGTTTACTATAGACCACCAGATAGCGGGAAGGAGATAGAGGAGCAGATCTGCAACCAGATCACGGACAGATGTAGGGCGAACAGAGTTGTCATAATGGGGGATTTCAATCATCCCAATATAGATTGGCAAAATAGTAGCGTTAAGGGCAAGACAGGAGAAAGATTCATCAACTGTGTACAGGAAAATTTTCTTGAGCAATATATCTCCAGTGCTACAAGGAAGGAAGCATTGCTGGATCTTGTCCTAGGGAATGAAGTAGGTCAGGTTGAACAAGTTTCGGTAGGGGAGCATCTAGGTAACAGTGACCATAATATTATTAGATTTAGATTACTCATGAACAGGGACAAAGTACAGTCAAGGGTGAAAATGCTTGACTGGAAAAGGGCTAATTTTGATGGGCTAAAAAGGGACCTAGAGTTGGTGGACTGGCAAGTAAGAATGGCAGTTAAAACGACTCATGAGTAATGGGAAATTTTCAAAGATACGATAGCTCAGGGTCTAAATAGATATATTCCCACAAAAGGGAAATGTGCGAGAACCAAGCCAGCCTGGATGGCCAGGGATATTCTGTCTAGGATGAAAAAGAAGAAGATGGCGTATGACATTTCGCGGATGCAAGACACTGAGGATAGCAAAGCGCATTATAGAGAATGCAGAAGTGGAGTCCTGTAGCTCAGTGGTTAGAGCACTCGCTTTGCAAGTGAGAGACCTGAGTTCAATCCCCGGGGGGTCAGGGCGAAACCTTGGGCAAGTTTCCTTACTCCACACAGAGCCTAATAATAATCCCTCCAAAAACCAAAAACAATAATAAATTGGTCATTTTCAATCTACGGTTGTTTGTGGGACATTGCTGTGCGCAATTGGCTGCCGCGTTCGCCCACAAATATACAGTCAATTCACTTTACAGTGTGTTCTGTGAAGTGCTTTGGGACGTCCTCCCGACGTGAAAAGCGCTATATCAAATGCAAGGATTATTATTATAAGTGGTCTTAAAAGAGTGATAAGACAGGCTAAAAGATCGCATGAGAAGAGTAACATAAAGGGGAATCCTAAAATATTTTACAAGCACATAAAGGAAAAAAGGTTAGTTAAAGGTAGGGTGGGGCCAATCAAAGGCAATGACGGCCATCTTGTTGTGGCGGCAGAGGGATGGCTGATGTACTAAGCGAGTACTTTGCATCTGTCTTCACAACGGAAATGGATGCCCCAAATGCCGCACTATTGGATGAGAGTTGTAGAGGACATAGATCAGATTACTATAGACAGAGAGGAAGTTCTGAAAAGATTGACTGGGCTGAAAATTGATAAGTCACCAGGACCAGATGGGTTTCACCCAAGGTTGCTGTGGGAGATACGGGTTCAAATAGCGGAGGCTTTGGCCATTATATTTCAATCTTCATTGGACACAGGAGTGGTGCCAAGAGACTGGAGAGTGGCTAATGTTACCCCACTCTACAAAAAGGGGCAGAAAGACAAACCCGGAAATTACAGGCCAGTCAGCCTAACTTCGGTAATAGGAAAACTACTGGAAACCATAATCCGGGACAGAATAAATCTCTACTTAGAGGAACACGAGGTAATTAGAGACGGCCAACATGGATTTGTTAAAGGCAAATCTTGCCTAACAAATCTAATAGAATTTTTTGAAGAGGTGACTGCGAGGGTTAATGAGGGAAATGCGGTGGACATTATTTACATGGATTTTAAAAAGGCTTTTGACACAGTACCGCATAAGAGGTTAATAAAAAAACTGGAAGCCCACGGTATTAAGGGGACAGTAGCCGTTTGGATTAGGAACTGTCTGAGTGACAGAGAGCAGAGGGTGGTGGTTAATGAGTGTTTCTCGCAATGCAAGGAGGTGTGCAACGGTGTCCCCCAGGGATCGGTATTGAGCATAAGAACATAAGAATTAGGAGCAGGAGTAGGCCATTCGGCCCTTCGTGCCTGCTCCGCCATTCAATAAGATCATGGCTGATCTTCTCACCTAACTCTGATTACCCGCCCTATCCCCATATCCCCTAATCCCTCTATTTTTCAAGAATCTATCAGTCTCAGCCTTGAAAATGTTCAAGGACTGACATCTACAGCCTTCTGGGGGAGTGAATTCCATAAGTTCACTACCCTCTGAGTGAAGAAATGTTTCCTCAACTCTGTTCTAAAAGGCTGACCCTTAATTTTCAGACTGTGACTCCTGGTTATAGATTCTCCTCCCGGGGAAACAGACCCTCTGTGTCTACTTTATCAGCCCTTTAAGAATCTTATAAGTTTCAATAAGATCTCCCCTAATTCTTCTGTACTCCAGAGAATACAGTCCTAGTTTATTCAGCCTCTCCTCATAGGTCATTCCCCTCATCCCAGGAACTAACCGAGTGAATCTACACTGCACCCCTTCGAGAGCAAGTATGTCCTTTTTTCAATAAAGAGACTAAAACTGCACACAATACTCTCGGTGCGGTCTCACCAAAGCCCTATACAGTTGCAGCGAGACTTCCCTACTCTTGTACTCTAAACCTTTCGAAATGAACGCTAACTGCCGTTCGCCTTCTTAGTTGCTGCTGCACTGCAAACTAACTTTTTGGGACTGGTGTACAAGACACCCAAATCCCTTTGAATACTAACATTATTCGGCGTTTTGTTCGACCCTGAGCTGTCCTTTCTCCCTCACATCCGCACCACAACTGGCACCGCCTTCCATCACCTCCGGAACATCGCCAGACTACGGCACTACCTCACCCCTCACTCGGCTGAAACTCTGGTCCACGCCTTTGTCACCTCAAGGCCGGACTATGGGAACTCTCTCCTCGCCGGCCTTCCCGGCCCTCCCTCCACACTGCAGGTCATTCAGAACTCTGCAGCTCGTGTACTGTCCCGCACCAGACACCGCGCCCACATCACTCCCACCCTCGCTCGCCTCCACTGGCTCCCCATCCCCCAGAGGATTGATTTCAAGATCCTCATCCTCACCTACAAGGCCATTCACGGCCTTGCTCCCTCCTACCTCTCCAACCTACTATCCCCCTACCTACCTGCCCGTACCCTCCGTTCCTCTGGCTCCGGTCTGTTCCACGTCCCCCGCCCCAATCACCCTACCATTGGTGGTCGGGCTTTCAGCCTCTCAGCCCCTAGGCTCTGGAACTCTATCCCCCAGTGCCTTCGCCGCTTCCTCCCTCTCCTCCTTCAAGGCCGGTCTCAAAACCTTTCTCTTTGACCAAGCCTTCAGCTCCCCTCTCGACTCTCTTCCCCCTCCTCGCTCCCTCCCTTCCCTCACCCTGACCATTTCCCCCCTCCTCGCTCCCTCCCTTCCCTCCCCTCACCCTGACCATTTCCCCCCTCCTCGCTCCCTCCCTTCCCTCCCCTCACCCTGACCATTTCCCCCCTGCTCGGGTCATGACCCAACTGTGCAGCGCCTTGGGATGTCCTCCTGACGTGAAAGGCGCTTTATAAATGGAATCTTGTTGTTGTTGTTGTTGTATTATCTAACGTCTCCCCTTCCAGAAAATAATCTGTTCTTTTATTCTTGCTACCGAGGTGAATAATTTCACACTTGCTAACATTGAATTCCATCTGCCACCTACTTGCCCACTCCCCGAGCCTATCTATATTCCGTTGCAATCTTTTTGCATCATCCTGAGAGCTCACTCTGCTCCCTAGTTTAGTATCATCCGCGAATTTAGACACATTACATTCAATGTCCTCGTCCAGATCATTGATGTAAATGGTAAATAGCTGAGGCCCAAGCACTGATCCTTGTGGCACTCCACTAGTTACATCCTGCCAATTCGAGAATGATCCGTTTATCACTACTCTCTGCTTTCTACCCGATAGCCACTCTTCTATCCATGTTAATATTTTCCCATTAATCCCGTGGGCCTTGATCTTGAGTAACAGCCTTTTGTGTGGCACCTTGTCAAATGCCTTCCTAAAATCCAAATATACCACATCTACTGGTTCCCCCTTATCCAACCTGCTGGATACATCCTCAAAAAATTCTAAAAGGTTAGTCAAGCATGACTTCCCTTTTGTAAAGCCATGTTGACTCTGCCTAATCTTTTTATGGTCTTCCAGGTATCCCATAACTACGTCTTTTATTAAGGACTCAAGAATTTTCCCTACAACTGACGTCAAACTAACTGGTCTATAGTTTTCCCTATTTTTTCTCCTGCACTTTTTAAATAGTGGAGTTACGTTTGCAATCTTCCAATCAATGGGAACTTTTCCAGTATCCACAGACTTTTGGAAGATTATAGACATGCCATCCACTATCTCAGTAGCCACCTCCTTTAAAACTCTCGGATGCAGGCCATCCGGTCCAGGGGATTTATCGGTTTTAAGACCCGACAATTTACCTAGAACCATCTCTTTACTAATGTTAATCTCCCTAAGTTGCTCGCTAACATTGTCTTCTTGGTCCTCTATTTTTGGTATGTTTCCAGTGTCTTCTACGGTGAAGACTGTAGAAAAATACTTGTTTAATGACTCTGCCATGTCTTTGTCCCCTATTATAATTCCTCCGGTCTCTGCCTGTAATGGACCCACATTCACCCTCGCTAGCCTTTTCCTCTTTATATATTTGTAAAAACTCTTGGAGTCTGTTTTTATGTTCTTTGCTAGTTTGCCCTCGTAATCTATTTTCTCCCTCTTGATCAATTTTTTGGTCCTCCTCTGTTGTTCCCTAAAGTTCTCCCAATCCTCGGGTTTACTACTCATCTTCGCTGTTTTATAGGCTTTTTCTTTTGATTTGATACTTTCCCTAACTGCTCTAGTTAGCCATGGCTGCACCACCTTTCCCATGGCATTCTTATTCCTCAAAGGAATATGTGCTCGTTGGGAATTTTGCACTATCTCCTTGAATGTCTGCCATTGCTGGTCTACCGTCAAATCTTTAAGTTTAGTCTCCCAGTTTATTCTGGCTAAATCCTCTCTCATACCAGCAAAGTTGGCTCGATTTAAATTGAAGACTTTTGCTTCAGACTTAACTACTTCCCTCTCTAACTTAACGCTAAATTCCATCATATTATGATCGCTTTGCCCGAGAGGAGCCTTAAGTTCCAGTTTGCTGATCAGCCCTGTTTCATTACACAAAACAAGGTCTAATATGGCTTGTTCCCTGGTCGGCTCCTCAGCATATTGATCTAGAAAATTATCTCTAATACATTCTATAAACTCCTCTTCTATGTTACCTTTCCCAATTTGGTTGTCCCAGTCTATGTGCAGGTTAAAATCACCCACAATTAGTGTCTTTCCTTTGCTACATGCTCCACTAATCTCTTGATTTATACCTTGAGCGATACTTTGACCACTGTTTGGGGGTCTATAAACTACTCCCACTATAGTTTTTTGCCCCTTGAAGTTACGTATCTCTACCCATACTGACTCTACATCTTGCTTTTCAGATTTAAAATCTTTCCTCTCTACTGTTTTTATCCCATCCTTTATTAGCAGGGCCACTCCCCCTCCTCGTTTACCACATCGCCTATCTTTCCTATATACCACGTAGCCGGGAATATTCAGTTCCCATCCCTGATCACCCTGTAACCATGTCTCGGTGATGGCTACTGGATCATACCGGTTTGTCTCTATTTGTGCAACTAATTCATCTATCTTGTTATGAATGCTTCGTGCATTCAGATATAGCGCCTTTAATTCCGGCTATTAACCCTGTTCACCAGCACTCTATCACTGTACTTCCTTACCCGGCTTGACACACTTTGCTCTTCTCCCTTGTTAATCTGCTCTCTTGCTTTTGTTGATCTCAAGTTTAACTGTGGTGGACTATACTTTACTATGTTTTTACCTTCCCCCCCCCCCCTTAGTAGTTTAAAGCCCTTTCTACCTCCCTATTTATTCGCGTAGCCAGGACATTTGTCCCAGCCCTATTTAGGTGGAGCCCATTCCTTTGGAAAAGCTCCCATCTTCCCCAATACTCGTGCCAGTGGCCCATGAATTGGAATTCCTGCTCTCCGCACCACTCTTTTAGCCAGGCATTCAGAGCTATGATCTTCTTTTGCCTGTACCAATTAGCTCCTGGCTCAGGTAACAGTCCCGATATCATCACTTTGGAAGTTCTATTCCTTAGTTTAATTCCCAATTCTTGGAACTCGCTCCTTAACTCGTCCCTACTGGTCCTACCAATGTCATTGGTCCCTATATATACCATTACGATTGGATCCTCTCTCTCATGCCTCAAATTTATCTCCAGCCCGGCGGTGACATCCTTCACCCTGGCCCCAGGAAGACAACAGAGTCTTCTTGTCTCCCTGCTACGGCTACAGAAAACTGTATCAGTCCTCCCGACTGTCTCATCCCCAATAAGAATTACATTTTTAACCTCCTGCACAAGGGTGTTGGGGTCAGTTTGCCCGTCTTCCTCGCAGATTTCCTTGTCCACACAGGTTGCCAATATTTCATACCTGTCAGACAAGGCTAAAGTCTGGGATTCTTCAGCCTCTCTCTTTCGGGAACGCTTGTCTGCCCGCCTGACTGTCACCCAGTCATGTCCGTCGCTGCTACATTCTTCTTCCTTGGGACTAAGGGGAGTGTCCAGCTCCAGGATAAAGCTGTCCAGGAAGTTTTCTCCATCCCTAATGCTGCACAGCGTCTCCACCTGAGACTCCAGCTCAGCTACTCTCAGCTGGAGCTCTCTGATTTCCAGACACTTGCGGTAGACGAAGTCGCCCGGACTTAAGGCATCCTCCATTGACTCCCACATGTGACAGACCTCGCAGTTTACCTGCCACACCATCTTCACAAACTTTATATAGATACAAAGATATATAGCCTGCCCCCACTTAACCCTCTGCAGCTAATTCCCACTCTCACCAAATTCCCTCACTCCGGACATAGCTCACTCTGGGCTCTCGCAGCTATCTCCTATTTATATTTTCTGGGTGCAACCCGTTTCTGATTTGCTCAGCAGTGATTTGGAATTAACGCCTAATCAAGTGAATAATCAATAAATTAATTTAATCAATAAGTTATTTGTTATTGGCTCGGCTTAATTGGCTACAGCTGCTCCCTGTAAAGTTACCCTACAAGACCAATGTACCAATGGTATCAGCAATTTTAAATAACACAAGACTTAAAACAACTACAACAACTACTACAAGACTTGAATAACAACAACAAATTGGGTTATGTACTCACGATAGCAGTTTTCACGACACTCACAGCAGCAATTCCCACTCTCACCAAATTCCCTCACACTCTGGCCTCGCCTCACTCCGGACGTAGCTCACTTTGGGCTCTCGGCTCGAGACTCTGGGCTCTCGACTCGAGACTCTGCCGCCCACTTACTGACCTGAACCAAACTCAGTCCCCGCATCTCACCAGCTCTGGCCCAGACTCCACTGGCTCCCCATCACTGAACAGATCGACTTCAAGGTCCTCTCACTCTCGTGTTCAAATCCCTTCACTCCTTGGCCGCTCCCTCCCTCTCTGAACCCCTCACTCCCGAATCCACACCCGGCATCTCCGCTCAACCATCACCGGCTCCTGCTCGTCTCTCGCACCCTCCGCCCCATTATCGGTGGTTATGTTTTCAGCCACTGCATTCCCAAACTCTGGAACACTCTCCCTTAATCCCTCCGCCTTGGTCCCCCTTTCCGAAGTCCTGCCTGAAAACCTTCCTTTTCAACCGTGCTTATGATCACCCCCACCGCTCCCCCCTGGCTCGGAGTCAGGCTCCACTGTTAAATGTCTGAAGCACTCCCTGCTTGGAGGGCGCTAGCGCTATACAAGAGCAAGTTGTAAAGGAACAGGAGTAGGCCATTCAACTCCAATCTGTACCTCAGATCTGTACCTCAACTCCAATTACACGCCTTTGCCCCATATCCCTTGATCCCCTGACCTAACAAATAACTATGCACCTCAGGCTTCAAAATGTGAATGGATCCAGCCATAATCCACAGCCTTTTGGGGGACAGCGAGAGAGAGAGAGAGTTCCAGATTCCCACTGGCCTTTGGATGAAAACCTGCCTCTGATTTCACTCCTAAATGGCCTGGCTCTAATTTTAAGATGATGTCCCTTGTTCTGGATTCACCACCAGAGGAAAGAGCTGTGCGCAATTGGCTGCTGCGTTTCGCCCACAAAATATACAGTCAATGCATTTTACAGTATATTCTGTGAAGCACTTTGAGACATCTCGAAGACATGATAAGGCGCTGTATCAAATGCAAGGATATTAGTATTAATGGATTTCCTTTCTACTTCTCACAAATCTTTCTTAATTTTCCGTTGCAGAAACGAGCAATGTGTCATAAAATGTAGCCCAGGTAAGTTGCTGGATGAAGTAACAATTCGATGTGTCAGTTGTGTGCACTGTATGGTCACAGATACCTGCACTTCTTTAAGCAAAGTCCTTTAACCAATTGAATGTTTTCTCAGCATGTCTTCCAGAATTCTAGCCAGTTTGCACACAGTGACATCCCACAAGCAGCCATGAAGAGATTGATTAGTTTTATTCGGGGGGGTTGTTAGACAGGACACGAGGAGAGAGAGAAACTGCATTTGCTTTTCAAATTGTGCCATCTGAATATACAAACGGGGACCTCAGTTTAACGTCTCATTTGAAAGTCGGCCAGTCCAACAATGAAGCGCACCCCCAGGACTGCATTGGAGTGTCTGCTCCCATTATATCCGGTCCAAGGCCTAACATGGGGTTTGAACCCACAACCTCCTGGCGGGAGATGTTGAGCAGATTGAAGGCTTTAATGACACAGTTGCCTGGGGAGAGATGGACTCCACACGTGGAGCCTGGCCAACTCACTTCAAAGCTGCCCTCCTAGCGTTGGGCAACAGGACTCTCTCTGAGACACGCGCCCATCAGTGTTTCACAGTGCAATCAATTGTGGTGTCTATCTACAAGACGAAGGGACCCTAGTGAGACCGATAACTTCACAGGGATCTCACTGTGATTCAGTGGCTCTTAAGGTGATGCTTTGACACACAGCCACAGGCACACACACAAACAGACAGACTTTCAGACAGACACAGAAAAATGGGAAGAGGGAAAGTGTCACAGGGTGGGAATATTTCAGGTTTGGACTATTATCTTGACCGTTTTTTAGGTGATACTATTGGAAAAGAGTAGTTACTTTCTCTTGGTCAGAAATGCTCCAGATAAGGGTGCAGTCCTGTAGTTCAGTGTTAGAGCACTCACCTTGCAAGCAGTAAGTAGGAACCCGATTGTTAATGATTGGCGGCTCGCTTTTCTGGGGGTAATAATTCCTTCAAAAAAAATTGGGGTCATTCAATCCATGACTGTGTGTGGGACATTGCTGTGCACAGTAGGCGTCTCAAATATACTATAAAGTGAATTGACTGTATTTTGTGGGTGAAACCCGCCAGTCAGTTGTGCACAGCAGTGTCCCACAAACAGTTGTGGATTGAAGTGACCAATTTTCTTTTGAGGAACTATGACCCCTGGAAAGCGATCCACCAATCAACTAACAACTGGGTTCCTACATACTGCTAGGTAAACAGAGGTGTTTGGAGCAAGGAAACTTGCCTAACATTTCGCCCTGCCTGGGAATCGAACCCAGGTCTCTCGCTTGCAGGGCAAGTGCTCTAATCACTGAGCTACAGGACTCCATAAAATATACAGTCAATTCACTTTACAATATATTCTTTGAAGCCCTTTGAGACATCTCCAAAACGTGATAAGGTGTTATGTAAAATGCAAGTATTATTATTATTAGTTCATCATTCCATTTCCGGCTGTTTGTATGGACTTTCTTGGGGAGAAATTCCACCTGGGTCAACAATTATTCTTGTTATATGCATATCAGAAAGTCAAAACATTGGAAAATTCTTAAAAATAATTGTCACTTGGAAGTTGTTTTCTGTAAATTTAAAGCAAATAAGAATAATCCTTGCAGTTCAATATGAAAATTTCTCTTAAGAACTACAGAAACTACTACTTGATTAGGTGTTAATTCCAAATTACTGCTGAGCAATCAGAAACTGGTTGCACCCAGGGAGTATAAAGAGGAGATAGCTGCAAGAGCCTCACTGGAGCTGTACTCTCCACCTCTCAAAGCCATCAGGAACCTCGGTGTTCTGTTCGACCCTGAGCTGTCCTTTCTCCCTCATATCCGCGCCACAACTGGCACCGCCTTCCATCACCTCCAGAACATCGCCAGACTATGGCACTACCTCACCCCTCATGCGGCTGACACTCTGGTCCACACCTTTATCACCTCAAGGCCGGACTATGGGACCTCTCTCCTCGTCGGCCTTCCCGGCCCTCCCTCCACACTGCAGGTCATTCAGAACTCTGCAGCTCGTGTACTGTCCCGCACCAGGCTTCGCGCCCACATCACTCCCACCCTCGCCCTCACTCCCACCCTCACTCCCACCCTCGCCCTCACTCCCACCCTTACCTTCGCCCTCGCTTGCCTCCACTGGCTCCCCATCCCCCAGAGGATCGATTCCAAGATCCTCATCCTCACCTACAAGGCCATTCACGGCCTCCCTCCCTCCTACCTCTCCGACCTACTATCCCCCTACCTACCTTCCCGTACCCTCCATTCCTCTGGCTCCGGTCTGCTCCACATCCCCCGCCCCAACCACCCTACCATCGGTGGCCGGGCCTTCAGCCTCTCAGCCCCTAGGCTCTGGAACTCTATCCCCCAGTGCCTTCGCCTTGCCTCCTCCCTTTCCTCCTTCAAGGCCGGTCTCAAGACCTTTCTCTTTGACCGTGCCTTCAGCTCACCTCTCAACTCTCTACCCCCTCCTCGCTCCCTCCTTTCCCTCCCCTCATCCTGACCATTTCCCCCTTGCTCGAGTTCTGACCCAACTGTACAGCGCCTTGGGACGTCCTCCCAACGTGAAAGGCGCTCTATAAATGGAATCTTGTTGTTGTGGAGCAGAGAGCCCAGAGTGAGCTACGTCCGGAGTGAGGCGAGGCCAGAGTGTGAGGGAATTTGGTGAGAGTGGGAATTAGCTGCAGAGGGGGAAGTAGGTTATATATCTGAGGGGAAGTAAGAGGAGATAGATAATGGCCTGGCAGGTGATGTGCGAGGAATGTGGTATGTGGGAGTTGATGGAGGGCAACCTGAGCCCAGGTGACTTCATCTGTAGCAAATGTTTGCAACTGAGGAAGCTCCAACTTAGAATAGCTGAGCTGGAGTCTCAGGTGCAGACACTGCGCTCCATCAGGAACAGTGAGAGGTTCCTGGACAGCATGGTGGAGGAGACCCTCATTACCCTAGGACTCAGTTATAGCAGCCCATCGCTGTATAGGAGCCATGAGAGAGGGGTACTGGAGCTATCGGGAGGTCAGAGTTCAAGAAAAGGACCACTCCCAGAGGAGCCCAACACACAGCCACCTTTCATTCATGCTAAAAGTGATTAGGTGACACTGCGACGGGGCAAGAAGAGGGCTTGTTCAAGGCAGAGCACCCCCAACAGAGTACCAGTCTCTAATCAGTACTCAACATTAGCTATCGAGAGCGTGGAAGCCTCTTATGAGGACAGCAGTGGACATTCTGTCTAACAGGACAAAGGCATGGTTCACAAGGGCAATACAGTTGTGACAGGGGATTCAACAGTAAGAGGCACTGATAGGATCTTCTGTAATCAGAATCGTGAGGCTAGGATGGTTTGCTGCCTTCCTGGTGCAAGGGTAGTGGACTTCACAGAGCGCATGGACAAGATTCTTCGGGGGGAAGGAGAATATCCAGAAGTCGTGGTCAATGTGGGGACCCACAATATTGGTAAGAAGAGGGCTGAGATGCTCCAGGGCGAGTATCAAAAGCTGGGGAGCAACTCAAGTTCAGAACATCCAAGGTGGTGATCTCTGGGTTACTCCCGGTACCTCGGGCAACAAGGCACCATAATGAAAGGATCAGGCGCATGAACGATTGGCTGGAGAAATGGTCCGGAAAAGAACTACTGGAGGAGGTGGGATCTTTACCTTGAGGATGGGCGGCACTTAAGCAAGGCAGGGGTGAGCTACCTTGCCAAGAGATTATCAAATGCTGTAGGGGCGGATTTAAACTGGTGTCGAGGGGGGATGGGTATCCAATGGATTAGAGATTAGAGGAAAACGACAAGTGGGAAGTATAGAGCAGGTACAAGCAGACAATTTCCTCAAATGCATGTACCTAAATGCACATAGCTTAAGGAATAAGGTTGATGAGCTGCAGGTTCAATTGGCCGTAGGGGGTTACGATGTGGCGGCTGTAGCCAAGACATGGCTCAGGACAGGAATGGGAGTTAAATATTCCAGGATATAATGTGTTCAAGGATAGAGAAGGAAGAAAAGGAGGAGGGGTGGCAATATTAGTTAAGCATACAATTATAGCTGTAGAAAGGAACGAGGCTCTGGAGGGCCCGACAACAGAATCCATCTGGTTAGAGTTAAGAAATAAGAAAGGAGTGGTTACACTGATGGGAGTTTACTATAGACCACCAGACAGCGGGAAGGAGATAGAGGAGCAGATCTGCAACCAGATCGCGGATAGATGTAAGGCAAACAGAGTTGTGATAATGGGAGATTTCAATTATCCCAATATAGACTGGCAAAATAGTAGCGCTAAGGGCAAGACAGGAGAAAGATTCATAGACTGTGTGCAGGAAAATTTTCTTGAGCAGTATGCTTCCAATCCTACGAGGAAGGAAGCATTGCTGGATTTAGTTCTGGGGAATGAAATAGGTCAGGTTGAACAGGTTTCGGTAGGGGAGCATCTAAGTAACAGTGACCATAATATTATTAGATTTAGATTACTCATGAACAGGGACAAAGTACAGTTAAGGGTGAAAATACTTGACCGGAAAAGGGCTAATTTTGATGGGCTAAAAAGGGACCTAGAGTTGGTGGACTGGCAAGTGAGACGAGCAGATTCCATTTCCGGCTGTTTGTATGGACTTTCTTGGGGAGAAATTCCACCTGGGTCAACAATTATTCTTGTTATATGCATATCAGAAAGTCAAAACATTGGAAAATTCTTAAAAATAATTGTCACTTGGAAGTTGTTTTCTGTAAATTTAAAGCAAATAAGAATAATCCTTGCAGTTCAATATGAAAATTTCTCTTAAGAACTACAGAAACTACTACTTGATTAGGTGTTAATTCCAAATTACTGCTGAGCAATCAGAAACTGGTTGCACCCAGGGAGTATAAAGAGGAGATAGCTGCAAGAGCCTCACTGGAGCTGTACTCTCCACCTCTCAAAGCCATCAGGAACCTCGGTGTTCTGTTCGACCCTGAGCTGTCCTTTCTCCCTCATATCCGCGCCACAACTGGCACCGCCTTCCATCACCTCCAGAA